AGCCAAGTATGCTGGAAAGAACTTCCGCAGGCCCGTTTAAATAGAGACACACACCTTAGTAGAAAACTATATCTAGATGTGCTCTTTCTTCTTTTTAATTTGGTTGCACATACCAACCACGTTGATATTTTTTTGTGATTAAGAATCAGAAAAAAGTGCTTGATGCACTGTAAATTAGCTTTTTAATTTACGTTTTGGCGTAGAGTGTATGTCGAATGTTTGAGATAAAAGACGTATTTATATTATTTTTAAGTAATTTGAACTATAAAATTGTAACAGTAATAAAATTGTAATCAATGTCTTGTTCTTTTTTTCATACCTTTATTTTGTATTCGTGCAATGGTTTGTAGTAAAAAAAAATCATTTTTTTAATTTCATAACTGTGGCGGATTTTATCTACAGGGTATTTTATTAATGGAGCATAATAAGCAGAAGTAATGTATGATGACACCAAAATAGTTTATTGCTTAAGTAGTTTTTGTAGGATATGTAAATAAAACATCGATATTTGGTAAACATGTAAGATTAAATCAGCGAATGAAGGTTATAAGATAACTTTGTTTTCATGCATGTACGTGAATAATAAACAGTTCAATAAGTAAAAAAAAAATCACTGGTCTCGATTCCGTCCGCGCGGGTTTAAAACAATACTTTGTAACTAGCCCATGTGTACTTCTAGACTAAGTTCTGAATGTCATTGAGATCCGTTGAGCCATTCTAGAAAATCTTTTCAACAAAATTCCATCTATTTATGAAATTAATAAGATATAAAAGAATTCTAGCCCAAATCATGATTATTCCGCGGGGGTAGCATTTACTATATACCTATACCTTTCAAGGTATAGGTATATAGTAGCTCTCTCCGTTCCATCTTGCAGTCTCTATTTCTTCAAAGGGAATAAAAAGATAACGATATTTGTTTTTACAAGTGTGTAATAGTGGAAACCACAGTTACACTCGATTAAAAAAAACCTTGGTTTAGGACATTTGTATGGAATATGTATTCGATTTTCAAACTGTCAACTAACATTGTTTTACTTTGACGTTTGTCATCTGTTAACTGTCAGAATTATGTCAAACTGTTAAATAATCGAATTCGAATGTAATATAAATTATAAATTAGATGCAAATGAAAAATTAGTTAAGTGATTTGTGAAAAAATTTAGCTGTACAACATGGTTAGATTAACAACCGCACTACTTCGCGTACCAGTCATAAAGTTCCGAAAGGGCGGAGGTGGTCAAGCTGGACGGCCTCCGTCAGCTCCTGCAGCTGCTCCACCGTCCGCGGCACCTGCCGCAGCACCAGGAAGCATGGTCTGTACTATGTTCTAAATAATACTATGTTAAAAAATAATCATATTTAGAGACTTCATACCTTGTTAAGTTACCAAGGCCACTTCGATTATAAGTTGTATAGTTTAAAACATAACAATGTTTAAATTATTTGTAACTGTGTAAGTCTTAATATTAGATATTTGTATGTCATATGAGGTTTTGTTTTACAGCAATCGCAACAAACAGTTGCAATGAGCACAATATCCGATATAGACTTGCCACCGCGCTACCGCAGGACACCACTCACCCAAGAAGAGATTGACCACATCAATGGCGGTGGAATTGTATAGTCCCTCCAGTTACACTTCCTAGCTTTCATAATAAGTAGTTACATAAAATATTTATTAATAAATGTTATTATGGTTTAGTGTTGATATTATTTTAATCTGTTGCTAACATGAGTGTAGGCATTTAAAAATTATAAAAAAAATACTGTAAAATTGATTGTTTCTTTTGGTACTGACTATAACTTCTTAGTTAGTGAAGTAGTGATATAAACTTTTAATTTGCATCATAAAGGTTTTTTCCATTTAAAGTAATTTGACCATAATAATAAATGGCAACAATTGCAAATGTTTTATTTCTCATTAAATAACAGAAAAATAATACATAATGTAAAAAAAAAACCTACTGTCCTTTTATCAGGTTTGTAAAACTTTTGTCATTTTTTGTTACAAATTTATTTATTTTTATTTAGTTTAATTGTAGCTATAAATTACAACAAATAATAGACTATGAGTGAGTTTTACACTCATTATTATATAAAATCATTTTATTTTTGTCATAATTCTTTAAAGGTCTTGACTAGAAGGAAATCAAATTGTAATTATGAAAGCAATTTGATGAATATTTCAGGAAGAAAAAGATGCTGCTAAGAATGTCAAACCTGGTACTCTTGTATTCAACATGCCTAAACAAGTAGTGCTGCATTGCCGAAAACCAACTAGAAAATTAATCAAATCAACTCCCTGTGGATGTGATAACTGCAAATTTAAATAAATTACAGAATCCATTGGTTGATGTTTCACACAATTCACAAAATTTGTAATGAAGTTTTTGAAATTGTTTTGTTTTATAACAATTTTTGTTGGCATTAAAAATAGTATCACTTATTTTGTTGTCTTTCCTGTAGTTTTTACACTAAAATGTGATAGAGTTCAGTATAGTGACTTTGAAAAGCATTGTGTAGTTTTTGAAAAATTTTATTTAGTACTTTATAAGACATACACTTAAAAATACAAATAACATGTACATAATAGCATTCAACTTATTTAGGAGTATAATCATTATATAAAATGTAAATAATATACAACAAGGATATAACAAGAAGTAATCTAATAATACCTAATGTTAAGTTTCTCTTTCTGGCTGGCCCACATCTGTGCAGCCGGCCCATCGTACGCGCCCGCGCTGTTCACTTCAAACTTGATCATACCGAACACTGCGAACTTCTGTTTCCATTTCGGCGTTTGTGGCAATGCCAATAAAATACGCGCGATCTCCTTCTTTACTTCATCTGAAATAAACTACAAATAAAGAAACCAAAAAATTGCTTATTATCGTAAAGGTATCGGGTCAAGGTTTCTACCTGGAAGTTTTGTATTAACCACGATAGGGTACGGCGGCAGACGGCCTAAAGTTTCGAGCGTTATTATTTCCTTCCCGCCGTCCTGCATATACTTCTTTGAATATAGAAGAGTTGTAGAATCAACTGCGGCCCATTCAGCTTGTTTCGAAAGGACCATTTGAGCCGAAGCCAAATGCGAACCAGACTCTGGAAATATTAGATATTCTTATATTAGAAAAAAATATACACAAAAAGTAAATCCGTCTGCCAAAAGACCGTGTAAGTAGACATCTCTCGCTCAATGTATTATCATGTTTATCGGTGCCATGTGTTTACTATGTCACTGCTACTAAATATGTGAAGTACCCGGCATATAATTTGGCACGCCGGGAATAAGAGTACAGATCTGCCCGACGTGCCAACTCAAGCGCCTGATGATTTTGCTTTCACGTAAAGTGTCTCGTCTTTTACCAATAAGCAGTCCCCAAACCATGTTTATAACATAACAAGAATTAAACACTAGGAACTCAACACAAATATTCCTTTCCTTTGATTAAAAAAAACTTAAACTTAAAATAGAAAATTGGTAACTTATACTTAATAAGGATCCAAAAAACGATGCATTTTCTCCTTTCTCCTTCAATGTTTTCAAAACAATTTTGCTTCCACTTAAAGAATCTTCGTCGCTGTATGCAAAGGTGCAGCCGCGCAGGTCTAGCAGAGTGTTAACATTATGTGCTCTGCAAATAATTAAGAAACTATTGTACGTAGAACTGGACACAATAGTCGTTGTTAATTGTGAAGCAATAGGGACATTCGTTATCAGTAATAGACACGCCGTAACTGATAACGTGAAATTTATCAATGTAACGTTTTATTTGCTTTCTGGCGATAGTAAAGAACCAATATTATCGAACAATTAAATCGGTCGTGGCTTTGTGTCGACGCCTAGATTTTTTTTTATCATATTAAAATTGTGTTTTCGTGATTCATTGAATTATACTGTGATCGCGAAAATAATATAGCTACTAAAGAAAGGTCTAGGATTCGAACTTACGACTGAGTGAAATTTGTTGATTTCAATAGAATTTAGAAAAAAATGCGCACAAAACAGCTTAGTAGTTCAATTATTCTACGGTTTTTAAAAGGTATGAAAGAATATGAAAACGTTGCATCTTTAAATAACAGAAAACCGGAATCCCGTGAACTAGTACAAGGTTATGGACCCAAGGTTTGACAGTTTTGGTAGTTTTAATAAATACGCCTATGAAAACTTTAGATACTGTGGAATGTACGAAAAGTTATTATTGGATCGTTGTCCCTCTTTTTGTCGGGAGATGATCCACAAGCGATGAATAAAATGGGATGTTATGTATCTTTTAATTTAAAAAAAATGATTTAGTTTAATAGCTACAAAGTCAGTGCGTAATAAAAAAAACAACTTACTTTTTGTCGCTGTGTATTATAATATCCGAGAAATATCCCGGTTTGTTTTCGACGTTCATTTGATGCGCGAACACCGGAGTTGCCGGCAACAGTTCAACATGTTTGTTTCCTTCATTACAGAGACTCATATACGAGGCCGCTGTCATAAATGCTATAGAAAAACAACAATTATATCTGATACACCATGTCTATTAAAAATAGAATCAGAGTGATTACTTTACTAAATGTGTATACTTTAGCTAAGATCTGTTGACTGGTTTTATAAGCTAGAGCAACTACATATAGTGCATTACTACTACATATATTACAAATTATCCGAATACTGCTTTTAATAGCAACGACGTATTAGCGTACTAAAGAAAATATAATTATCATTAATTTGTTAATAATAACACCGAAGCGCCAATGTGGGTTGATACACCACACGACGCAAAATAGCGTTACTATGTAGTAGTCATATTAGATCACTGTATATTAATTAATCCTACAAACCTGTCGTATGTTATTTATAAGATAACTTTGTAACTTGTCCGTGACTGTATTTGGCCAGTTAATCGCAGATCGCAAACAATCATAATTACGGTACAGGATATCGAAGTTTACTTGTCTCGGAGTTCTTTTGATGTTCGATTAATTGTTTGTAACCTAAATTGCATATAGAGCAAAGTCTATATCATGCAAATCCTACACTGTTTACAGAACTAGTACTTAGAGTAAGCGTACTGACGGATGAAATAAATGGTCTAGTAAGAGTAATGGGTATTCTTACATAAGAGTACAAGATATGCGTTGATGCAGTGTTTAGTAAGGTTTCTTTCCTCTGCATAGTAAAGATGAATAACGTGGAGTGATAAGTAAGTTACCGTTTGTGTCCTTTAACCCGAGAATGAGCATAAATTATCATGAACTAATATCACAGAAACTGACTCAATCTCAATATTTGTTCACTTTTTTTTGTTTTGTTTTGTCTTTCATACCAAAAATTATTCTTTAGACGCAGCTCAATCTTCCATCGATGGCGCATCGAAGAGCCGCAACAAAGCAATTGTGTGTAATTTGTATTCTACCCTCAATTTAGATAACATAAATAACAACTTACAAATTTTTGAAATTAGTTACTCTAACAATGATTATTTTATGTTTTAGCATTAAAAATACAATAAAACATAATGCATTATCTTTGCTGATAAGTACTGTGAAAAGAATAACAATGCGGGTACTCACCTAAATCAATTTTATCTGAGCTGAACGGATCAGGACGATCTCGTAGTGGGCCTGGACTCCTGCTCTCGTACTGCAATGTCGTATAGCAGTCCATTGCATCTTCTAGCAGCTCAAGTATCAACTCGTATAATTGTACCGGATGAGTCGGACACATGTAAGTGACCGTACGTAATTCCAGTTTCTCTCCTGACATTTTTATTATTCAATTCTCCACAGAACGATTAACGATCAGTAGCTCCGTCTAGATACAAATGAAAGTTTGTGTTATATCGAGTAAACTGTATGTTTATTATCGAGTAGTTTCGATAAACAAAACACGCCCTGACCACGGTCTGTCCGGTCTCCAGCGGACTAGCGGTCGCCGGTCGCTGTGTGACGTCGAGCGTGGCACGCGACCGACGCGTGTTTGCCTGTTTGCTAAGTTATCTAGCTTACAGTTTATGCCTAATCTATTTTATTATTACCAATTTCTCCGTTAGTAGTTTAAATAGTTTTCAATATTCTGACATTACTGTTAATGCACTACCTACATGATCCATTTACATAGTTGGATAGCGTATGCAGTCAAATTAGTTTAGGATTAGAACCCGTAAATCATCACTTTGGACAGAGCTAGCTATCGCGCTGCTAGCCTGTTAGTTAACTGGAATACACCGCAAATACTTACTTACTTACTCTTGTATCCGAAACGGCCTAATATTATAAGGAAAGTGTTAGTGTAAAATTTCTCATACCATGTATTCTCCACTAAGGGATGCTACTAAACGACTTAGACCAATTAAGGAAGATATGCTCTTGTAGAACACTACAGCGCCACCTACGAGGTGCAATAAGTTTCATCAGTTAGACCTTAAATAAAAGGTAAACTAATTGCATTTATATTATTTGTTAGACGAATATTAGTGTAATCCTAATTTGTTAAGGTTATGTTTTCTTATCAAGAAATTAATTTAAAGTTCAATTCTAGCACGAAAATCATATTTTACGACAGTAACTGTTAAATGTCAGTGTCAAAATAAATTGTAATTGGAAAAAAGTGAGGTAAAATCGGTAAATAAAGATACGACTACCAAAAATCTATTCATTATTAAGTAGGTATAGTTGCACGTTTATTATTTATTAATAAATTAGCAATGGGTAAAGAGGATACATCTGCCAAAAAAAGACGAAAACTGAACAGTAACTCGAGTGAATTAAGTAAACAGCCACCTGTCGATGTTTATAAGGTTAGAAATATGTTTGTATTATTGTTATTTCATTTGATTATTTGAATAAAGCTAATAAAGTTTAATTTCTAGCGTGTAGTAGAATTTGAAGAAAGCGAGGCGCAATTAAGATCTGCTGAAAAAGATGCAGTTTTGTTCAAAAAAATCTGTCAAGATGTTCGACAGCTTTTTGCAGATATAGCCGAATTGAAAGCTAAAGGAACTAATGAGGTTCGCTAAATTTGTAATGAGCGTCTATTTTTCTTTTGGATTAATAAGTAAATTTTAATATTCATTGTATATTTTTAGAGCAAAGAAAAGATAAATGCAAAGAGAGTGGAAGCATCTTTACTGCTGGTGGCATTAAAGAAACTAAACCGTTTAGAAAAAGTTCGTACAAGAGGTGGCCGAGATGCTTTAAATAAGGAGAAGCAACAAGTGGATTCTACACATTTGCTTCTACAGAATTTATTGTATGAAGCTGACCATCTAAATAAGGAAGTGACGAAATGCTTGCAGTTTAAATCTAAAGATGAAGAGATAGAATTAGTCCCATTGGACAATTTCTATAAGGAAGCTCCAGAGGATATTTCACGTCCAGTATGTATAATTTCATTATTTACACACACCCCGGTTTGAGTAAATTTGGCTGACCTACTTTTTTGTTCTTAGGAAATTACTAAGAATGATGAACATCAGCTACAATTAGCGAGATTGGAATGGGAACTTCGACAACGTCGTGAATTGGCAGGAGCATGTAATGAACTTGTGTCCTCCAAGGAGCGAGTGTCTGCTGCAATTGCTGCAGCTAGATCTAGATTGGTTGCACTAGCACCACATCTCCGAGATGTGCTTAAGGCAACTAAACCTCTACAAGAATGCTTAGCATTGCGTTTAGATGAGAAGCGTGATGAAACAAGAGCTGCATCACTACTACCAGCCCCTTTGTTCCTCTTATATGCTAATGCTAGTGCATATTCTGATGTCTTAGGTGTAGAACATATTACAGTTGGTAAGAAATCTTTCTATTCAAAATGTGTGAAACATGTTTTTTAACTTGTTTGTTTAATATGTTTAGTAAAGAATGTCTACTAAGATTTTATGTTTTAGGTATTTCTGGGGACGAAGATGAGGCTCGCAGGTTGGATCAAATCAATACTAGTATAGAAAGCGACATATTGGTATCCAATGACTCCGATTCTGATCAGGATAACAATGATGATGATCAGACAGAAAAGAAGAAGCGTTATCACAGAACTGCAAAAATATCCAAAGAAGAAAAGGCAGAGGCGAAAAAGAAACAAGTGCTACAAAAACACCCATTAAATGTTCAAGTTTCAGTTAAGATACAAGATGGCACTGCTTTAAATTTGATTTTCTCCTATTTGGTTAATCTAAAAATTGTTGTTGTAAAGTTTATTATGTCTTTCCCGAGGCCTATAACAGGAGTGTCAGCGGCAGATGTATTGAATAGTGACAGCATTTTAAATGAATTATATCCCGGAGACAATGGCAATGACTCTCCACACCCTGCAACCACTTATTTGTTAAATGCAGCTGGTGTTACTGAAAATTTTCATAATTTCATTCCTGAAGTTGGAAGACCCTATATTTGGGCTCAAAGAATGTGTGGTCTAGACTTTATGGCAATAATTCTAGATGACCCAAAGCAGTTCAAACCTATTGTACCATCTCAAAGCCTAAGTGTGGTGACAGTGGAAAATTTTATTTTCACATTAAAGAAAAGATTAGAGGCAAGAGTTGAACTGATGAAGGAACTTCAAGATTTAGAGAGTGGAAAGATTTTACCTGTGAAAAATGATAAACCTATTAGATTATCTGCAACACTGACTCAGTGGCAATCTGTAGGCTGGCCGGAGTATAGTCAATCACCTTCTACAAATTTTTTGATAGCTGAAGGTCTGGTGACTGCTGAAAATATGTTGTATCGAGCTATTGTAACAAGACAATCTGCTAAATTGGTAGCCCTAGTAGCTCTGGGCAGTGATTACCCTAGAAAAGCTCCACTATTTTCTTTAACTTTAGATTGGAATGGAGTTCACCACGCTGGTGTCAATGATGATATACGAGATATTGAGCGACTTATAAACACTAATTGGGATACAAGTGATTCTGGCTCACAAACACTTTCCGCTCAAATGACAAAGTTATTGACATGTATTGATGTCCTTCTTGAAACAAGTGGCTCTGTTGAGTTTCCACCAGATAAAGTTATGCTAAGACAAATTCGTGGAAGAAATCGTATGAAGCCATACAAACTTCTAAAACAAGGACCTGGTTTATTTGTTCAATATTGATAAATAAGAATCTTCATTTAGTGTGGTAAAATAAATTTAAGAAATAAGTATGTCTTTTTGTTTGTAGACGTACAGTTTTGGATTAAGAAAATATCAATCTGTAGGTTAAGTATCAGATTACTTAATTTATTGGTCAGGGTTTGATTTTCTGTTCGTGTTTTCGGCTCCCTTACTATTTAGCAAGTGTTTTCTTCACTTTAGGAGGGAATAGGTTTAGTTGTGTGTAATAAAACATCAATTTCGTTTATTTTTATAATACAACAGTCTTTATTCTTATTTCAGTAAGTTAAATTATATAATATCTTTGAGGAAGAAACTAAAATGTAGTCACAATCAGAAACAAACAAAGAAAACATATCTAGCAATTATAAAAGTTAATTTTATACTCAGTGTTGTGGCAAAGACACACAAAAACGTATTTGATAACTTAATCTAGAAATGCCATATTGTTATTGGTCGATAATGAGATCTCTAAAACATTATGTCCATTTTTAAATATTACTTTATAATTTTTCGTACATTATTCACTACATTGGTATTAATTAAATGTTAATACATTTGTGAAGACACATCAGGAAACAATACTACGATGGCTATTCATTTTTTTTAACATTTTCTCTTTATGCAAATCTAGTAATTTTACACAAAATAAGTTTAATAAAAAACTAAGAGTGTGTTTTATTGTAAAAGTTGTACTATGATAAGAAATAAAAGGGGGGTTAATATGTAAATTTCAAACAGGGTACAATGTCAACTACTTATCTAAACTTTTATCTTAAAGCGACGCTAGAATTCTGCGATAAAATATTTTAGACGGTTCTATAATTCTCTAAGTTGGTGCGCCGGCCGACGCCGCGACCCACTCTGGACAATAAAAAAATATAACACACTATTGCAATCTCTGGTTTGCTAAACAACTGTAAGTTCTATGAATTGATTTAGTTTTTCACATTTCACTTTTTACACATTTCAAGTTTTCCACAGTTAATATCACTGAAAGTCAGTTTGACCACAAAATAAAATCACTTCACATGTTGCGTTGGTGTGCTGAGATGTGCAGCGCGTCGCGCGCATTATGACACGCCCGCCTCCAGTTTCACATCCATTATTTTGCGCGGCCCCTTCAGGCAATTGAGTCGCCTTTGTACTGCGTCTCGGTCTGTAAAACAATTATTGTTATTTCATTATTTTGTATTTTGAATTTGCAAACATAGTGTTCTAATAAAGGTGTGATATTTAAAAATTATTTATTAACATTAAACACATTTTAAATGATCTATGGTAGCGATATATGGTAGTTAACACTCACAAAATATATAAGAACTATACTAATTAAAAGATAATGAAAATGATAGTCTATGTTTAGTTTTTTGAAATTGGCCCGGTAGTGTTTCAGGTTTTTCAATACATACAAAAATACAAATCTTTCCTCTTTATGATATTAGTATGTCATATCATTTGTATAAAATTAAAAGTCCACACATATTTTATATTTTGTTTAGTAATACAGTTTTGTAGAAGGATACATGTGAGTGTCGACAAATAACTTGGTCGGTGTATATGCAATTTAACATAGTACATAGTAGTATTCAATAATTGGTAGGTTACATTAGTGTTATGTGTGATGTTTGGTGTGTTTAGTGTTGGTGCATGTAGTGGTACTAACACTTGGAGAGCGTGGTGCGGTGCTGCGGGTGCAGCGGGTGTCGCTGCACCAGCGAGTGCAGCAGCACCTGCGCGGACATGTAGCGCCGCTCGCACTCCTTCATGTCGCCGAACAGCTCCTCGATAGCCGCCATCTGGCACTGCGCACACATCAACTCAATAATGTTTTTAAACTTAACATAAAGATTTAATCTTAAATGAAAATACGGTTGCTTTGTAACAATAGTTTTTGCTTAGATCTGATAATATAACCTCTCTAAGGTTAGTTTAAATCCTTATTCCTACTAGTTGCAACCGTCAGAGCCAAAATGGTTAAAATCAATACGTAGCATTTTTTGCCTTTAACACGTTCAGTGCTACAATGAAAAACACCGTAGTAGCAGTGTTGGTGTTTTGTATAAAATTTGCATGAGTGTATGGGCTGATGGTAGTAAAGTGTGTGTGTGGGTTTGTGTGTAGCGTAGTACTCACAAGTTCAATGGCGTGCTCGTACAGGATCTTGTCGCAGATGGCCGGCGTGACGCCCGCCTCGTGCAGCCGCCGCGACTCGTTCACTATCCACTTGTACTTGCCGTTCATCAGCGACACCACTGCATCCACACACAATTACATAATATCAATATCAAACATCACACAAAAATGTAACAACTTAAATGTGTAATTTGGAGCAACGTAGTCAAAGATTTATTGAGTCCCTTTTTTTTTATAAATAGAAGTTGTATTTAATCCCATGCGTTACCATCGACATTACCGCGTGATGTTTACTTTTTAATTTATTTACAGTTAGATAAATAGTTAAAACAATGTCTTACAAAAGTAGGCATAGTTTGACTGTATAATTGAATTAATACTAAGGGAACT